CGTAATAAAGGATGATGATAATGATGATGATGATGATGATGATGTAATTAGTGATCGGAAACAAACATTTTTCTGTTATATAATTGTTGGATTATGTTTATTATGCAATTAGTGATCGGAAACAAACATTCTTCTGTCATATAATTGTTGGATTATGTTTATTATGCAATTACTGATCGGAAAGAAACATTCTTCTGTTATATGATTGTTGGATTATGTTAATTATGTAATTAGTCATCGGAAACAAACATGTATCTGTTATATAATTGTTATTATACTGCTGATACTTTCAGACTGGCTTGGAAATTACACAGATGTCAGAGTTAATGTTGGAAATGAACATACTTTGTTTGGATTCGCAGGGAAGAATAACAATTCAATCAGTGTAGTAATAGGGTATACGTAACACAATCTGTGCTCTACAGACTTAACAAGGTTAACAAGAAAAACAAGGTTAAACCTTTAGTAGTTCAGATATTGAAAATACACAACATATGGCATATTCAAATTGTAATTATGCAAAATTGTATGCCTTCTCGTCTTCTTTACATTTGTTACACGGTTTTGGTATCTTTCTGTCATAATACCCCCCTCGTATTTCCAGCACGAATGCTATATATTAGGTTACCACTTATCAAGGATATCTTTGATATGTCCATCAAATATTTCGTTTAAAAGTCATACAAATTAGATGCTACATGTTGCCGGATTCGTTAAACCAACCTAAAAAGGCATATAAAGGGTCAAGAGCAAAAATTGGTCAGCAACTATACTTACTTCAGTTGTCATGTTTTTTGCATCCAATTCGATCTTCCGACAAGAAGCTCCAGAATGGACCTACAGAGTTATCTAGGCACATTGAGACGGTGCCGTCACGGCAGGCATTTTATAGAATTGTGTAACCAATGAAAGGTCCTGATCTAAATCACATGGCTGTCTGACACCGTTGAGATCCTGTTGGAATTGGTTGTTACTAACGGGATCGGTTGGTCATGTGTGCTGACTTTGTTGACCGCCATCGTGTCACAGCAAAAATCTGTCATCTTTGTCTGGTCCAAACTAGATTTACCTTCCCACGTTAGATAACTAATAATAACTAATAGAATAATGGTACAACTATCGTATTGACTTAAGAAATAGTATCTCTATACTTACAAAGATATAACACAACGGCAGAAGGGAAGGTGAAATAAACTAAAAACTGGTTGCCATGGTACTTTCTTGAAACTGTCGTGACAGTTTGGTGATTTCTGGAGCATCTTATTAAAATAGCGAATTAACGGCTATAGCGAACTGATTTACTACCCCCCAAGACCCAATTAACGACGAGATTAGCGAACTCACTCAGTGTCAGCTCCGTGTCAGCTCAGCCACTCTTAGCGGTATACATCAAGCGGCAAACATGTCCGGGAGTGAAACACCTGGAAAAGAGTAGGACGAGACAAAAACGTAAGATCCTGATGTTTGTAGACAATTGTCCTGCCCATCCTGTTGTGAAACACCTGACACACGGCAAACTGGTCTTCCTTCCACCGAACACTAAGTGTTATGTCAATGTACATGTACAAGAATAAAGATTTGTAGCCTCAGCATATACATGTCTCTACATCTCTACAATCCAAGATGGCGGTCAAATGTGAATAACGAACAACGGATATAGCGAACTAAATTTCTTGGTCCCTTGGAGTTCGTTATATCCGTGTTCTACTGTATACACGAAAATCAACTTGAAGTCATTTTAAGCAAACAGTTTTGGCAATGTATGGGGAGCGAATGCTTTAAATACTAGCCTACCCCACTGCCCCACCACTACGATGACAGTTAATAGACAAACTTAGACTGACACGACATAGTGTGTGAAAAGTGTACTCCCAAAATGTGAAACTCTGGATCAGTTTTCAGCTAGGTGTTCGTTTCATGCAGTACTTAGAGTGAGTGAGCTTAGTTTCACGCCGCTTTTACCCATGTGGGGAATCGAACACAGATCTTCGGCGTGAGGAGCGAACGCTTCAATCACTAAGCTACCCAACCGCCCCCGTAGTACATAGACGCTTTATACACATCATCGCTTTTTAACTGGTTACTGCAAGTGATTTAGTTATTTAGATTACAGTGAAATAAAGGACACCAATGAGTACAATCGCTAGTTCTAGCACTGTTCACTGTGGTTGTATATATACTCAGAAACAGCTAATCCCTGGCAGTGTGGTGGCTAAGTCAGGTCAGCTGTGACATCCTGATGGTGAGGGAATTTAATATGTATTCAAACTCATACTATTTGTCAAGCAACGGATAAAACCATCTGTATTCTAAATTCACTTCAACATTCGCTAGGGGAATTGCGGGGTCGCGATCAAAATATTTAATTACAATCTGCAACACCAAGTGTGAATAGGCATTACCCATGTTGATAAACCTCGCTGACGAAAGTAAACAAATATATAATGCACTGAACACAAAACCATAAATGATTACAGAAGAATTGATGATATGCCTTGAAATGCAATAGGAAAATAGCGTACATGTTCACACCATCTTGATCATCGTTTACTGTATCTGGAACTGTTGAAGGCAAGATGTTTTAATTCATTTATCATTTTGGAACATGAACAGATTATTTGGGTAGTAAAATGATAATAATGTATTTCTTGAAGCTGGAAAGTATTCACAGTTAAGTAATTGATGAAACTCCATCAGGATAAAATGTTGAAATAAAATGTATGTATATAGCCAAACGTTCTTTCTCAATAGTAACACCTCAACTGTCTTCAACAATTAGATATAGTTCTATATTATTCAGAAAATGTTTTCATAAGAGACGGTCAAATTTATAGGCATTTACGAGGGAGATCATATTGGAGTAGTTTGCCCCACCGATAATTCTCCACACACAGTAAATTTTAGTTTCAAAGCTGTAAAATCATTGGACGTAGCACAGTATAAATGAGGTTGTTATCAGTGATAATAATATATTGTATAATTGTATAAATAATATACAATACATAAAAAACACAGAGCAGTTTTCAATATATATTCTTTTATGAAAAGAATATTTTTCTTGATTGTCACAATATGCTGTAGAGTACACAATGTACTCACACATAACAACAACATTTTAAGTCTTAGGATTTTTGAATGGATCAAGTGATAGTACAGAAATCCAGTCTAACCATGGCGAATATACAGTCAATGTTGACTTTCAACAGATATTTATTTTGGAATTACCTGTGTTGCTTATCATTGATTACATGTTACCCTTCATTCAGTATCTGAATATACAGAACCCTAGCTGTAGTCATCATCCAGTAATATCACAAAATCCGTGTCTCCCTGTGTAAGAAAAGTTGTTTTACTTTTGTATGCTCCTAGTGAGGGTTCCCAACACATGTACGACACATTGTCAGTTTACAGTCTCTAGCTGTAGAGTAACTGGGTTGTCAGTTTACAGTCTCTAACTGTAGTGTAACTGGGTTGTCAGCTTACAGTCTCTAGCTGTAGTGTAACTGGGTTGTCAGTTTACAGTCTCTAGCTGTAGTGTAACTGGGTTGTCAGTTTACAGTCTCTAGCTGTAGTGTAACTGGGTTGTCAGTTTACAGTCTCTAGCTGTAGTGTAACTGGGTTGTCAGTTTACAGTCTCTAACTGTAGTGTAACTGGGTTGTCAGTTTACAGTCTCTAGCTGTAGTGTAACTGGGTTGTCAGTTTACAGTCTCTGGCTGTAATGTAACTGGGTTGTCAGTTTACAGTCTCTAGCTGTAGTGTAACTGGGTTGTCAGTTTACAGTCTCTAGCTGTAGTGTAACTTGGTTGTCAGTTTACAGTTCCTAGCTGTAGTGTAACTGGGTTGTCAGTTTGCAGTCTCTGGCTGTAGTGTAACTGGGTTGTCAGTTTACAGTCTCTAGCTGTAGTGTAACTGGGTTGTCAGTTTACAGTCTCTAGCTGTAGTGTAACTGGGTTGTCAGTTTACAGTCTCTAACTGTAGTGTAACTGGGTTGTCAGTTTACAGTCTCTAGCTGTAGTGTAACTGGGTTGTCAGTTTACAGTCTCTGGCTGTAATGTAACTGGGTTGTCAGTTTACAGTCTCTAGCTGTAGTGTAACTGGGTTGTCAGTTTACATTCTCTAGCTGTAGTGTAACTGGGTTGTCAGTTTGCAGTCTCTGGCTGTAGTGTAACTGGGTTGTCAGTTTACAGTCTCTAGCTGTAATGTAACTGGGTTGTCAGTTTACAGTCTCTAGCTGTAGTGTAACTGGGTTTTCAGTTTGCAGTCTCTGGCTGTAGTGTAACTGGGTTGTCAGTTTACCGTCTCTAGCTGTAGTGTAACTGGGTTGTCAGCTTACAGTCTCTGGCTGTAGTGTAACTGGGTTGTCAGTTTGCAGTCTCTAGCTGTAGTGTAACTAGGTTGGAATATCTAGTTCCGGACTGTGATCCAGGAGATATGACATGACATAACAAGTAGATGTGGCACCTGTGGCTGTACATAATAATGCAGGATACAGCGTGGTGGTTATAAAACGCCCAATAGTTTAGACCCAGCTAGGTAACGACAGTGGGTTCAAGCCCGGGAAGTCGACAAATGAATGCCGGCATCGTAGACTATTGTTGCGCTTGGCTGGTTTCACGCTCCATTGACTTAATCTCCAAGGCGAACAGTGAATACAACAAGGATTAGCAATGGTATAAACATTTAATGTAATCTGAATATGCGAAATGTTTCCAACAAATATAAAGCATACAACGAGCATGTACATCAACATCTGTAAAATGTATAAATCAGTCTTTCATTGAAAACTAGCATTGATATAGCTAAACAAGCATTTAGGTCTGTAATCCCAGGTGAAGGAGTTCCGAGACGTGATCTGTGTAGTCCATCTCACACAGTCTCTGGGTGATCAAGTCATCCTTCAGAGATCTGATTCTCAGGTCAGTTTGCCGATACTTCCTCTTTCTAACAGGTCTTCCTCTGCCATGTCCTTGGATCTGCTGGATCTTAACCTCAGCCACTG